TGGTGCAAAAGATCGCCTACCTCGTTGCTCTTGAGAAGCTGCCATTATCCCACCTCAAATTTGAAAAATAGAAGTAAAGAAATAATAACCATCGTACTAGGTGGAAAATTGTTCTGGAGGACTCGTTACGGACAAAGAAGTCAAAATCAGAGCTCGATTGATTGATTTAATTCATGGATATACAAATATCGCCTCAGCTTACTGCCGCGATAGCAAATGCATGCTGAGATGAACCCTGAGAGACATGAAAACAGTGCGAACCGTGGCTCCTACAGCAATGCGCTTAGCTCATTTCTCTCATATCCCAAAAGCAACAAAGCGTCAAGGTCTCTTGTGATAAGTCTCGCCCATTGCCCGAGTCTTTTAAATGCTATTTTTACTTCACCTATCGCTGATCCGTGATAGCACAGTTGACTTATCCGTCTTGTGTTTTAGATAAGGTGCGGGCAATAGGCGATCGGGAGTTCGATACCCGACGATGGGAGTTACTTTTCAATGGTTGTATTGAATGTTTAGACTAATTATCAAAAAGTGATTATTACTAGATGATAAATGTACGAACATTTTCTCGTGAGTTAATATGTTAAACAAAAATACCAGAATATACCTCCTTCATATAATCAGCCACATGTTCCCCCAAATTAATGACGTCATTTTCTTTTTTCAATAAAGTTAATTTGCATTCAACGTTCGTAAGTTAAGCAATAAGTACCTATTGATACAAATAGAAGGACATGAAAATAGTATGTCTAACTTTTCAGTTGTTTTTTTTTTATTTATTTTTTGTATTTTTTTTTTCAATAAAACAAATTGACTGGGACTAGAATCATTGTATCTCTGAAGATAAAAGCTAAGTTTTTTGATACAGAAATACTAATATATTCATCCTTTTTATAATCAGGGAGATGTTGACCCAAATATTGATGTATATTTTCTCTGTTCGCCCAAATTAATGATGGTATTTTCTTTTTTCAATAAAATTAATTTACATTCCACGTTCTTAAAGCAATATTTTCTCCAAAATTCGGCAAAAATAACAATTTATACCTACGCAAAAAGTAAATAAATAAATAAATAAATAAAGTAATGACATGAAAGTAGTATAGGTAGTACACATCTACCATTTCAGTTAAATCTATTTGAATGAAAAAATGGCAACTTAGGAAGCACATAGGTCACTTATGATGCGTATTCGATCATATGCGTAGAGTAAAAATATCATACTTTACCCCGAAAAAGCGAAACTGAAAGTTTAATGCGTCAACTTCCGAAAACCATACATAATCCAACGATAATAAATAATTGGTAAATAACAGCTTTCTTGTATGCAAAGCAAAAAAAATTAAAAATGTTAAAAAAAGAGATGTCGACACAAAATTACATCTTCAATTCTGAAGATACTACAAACGAACTGTACCTTAACATTTTCATATCCCAGAAGCAAAAGTTCCCATGACGAATATTGCTATCGCTAGCGATTGCAAAAACCAACTTGTTTTCTTTCCATCTTCCTTCTCCTTCATCTTCTTTTTCCTATATTTTCATTTCCTATTTTTCTGAATCACTGTTAACAATTTTATGAATGTTGGCAAGGCCAGGTCTGTCACTCATGCCAAAATTCTGGAACGTACAAGATGAGCTTTGTCAAGCGGGTGAGCAACTCGTTCTTTTGCTGTATGGTGCTGAAAAATCAGTTACCGCTTTGAACAAATGCAGATTTCAATGTTTTAATCGTGCTTTGGCAAGGCCAAAACTGAGGTGAAACTGCAAACGTTGCCTCATCCAACTTCAGATGCGTGCAAACAACACTTCTTACGTGTATATTATCAAGTTCAACTCTGGAGAGGAAGAAAACGGAATCCCAAAGAATAGGGGTGGAAATCTTCGGAACTCAGGCTTCTCCTTGTGCCTATGCTCAACCCGCCTGACCCCCCCCCCCCCCCAAGAACTTTTACAAATCATCTCATGTACATGTTCGAAAGGCTGTAGTAACCGCTGCTCTTGTAAGAGAGCTGCATGGTCTACCATGCAGTGACATATGTCTACATTGTTCCGGCTTGGGATGTAGCAATCAAGCAGAAACACTCATCGAAGAGGAAGCAGAGGATGAATTTAAACTCCCTCTTTCTATATTTTTTATTAATTCATTTTCTTTTCGTTACTTTGAAAAAAGAAGATTTGTTGTTCGACAAATTTAATTTGAATAAGAAAGCATAAAATAATAACATTATCTTCAAGCGCGACCGTTGACATTTGTTAACTATACAACATGCATGACCTAAGGGGGGAGGGGTTCATGATGAAAGGAAATTAGCACATATATAAATGGATAATATGACTTACCCTCGCGGTAAATCTACCAAAAAAGTGAAGCCGTTTCATCTTGGACCGCAACAATGCATGGCGCGGCCAAGCCGAGCCTCACCGCGTAGTAGCCGCCGTTGGTTCGGACCGCATAGCGCTCCGAAGGTGGACCCCCTAGTGAATTCATAAGCATTTTTAGCATGGAAATTTTATGTTCTTTCATTCCGGTGAGAACACTTTTTTGCCTCAGACTCGCCGTTTTTAAGATAATTACAGATTTTGTTGAAAAAACGTGATTTCTCGCAAGATTTGACTTTCCTAGCCGCAGGAAACTACCGCCATATCTCACGAACCAGAAGTCGCAACTTGATAAATGTACAGTGTTTCTAATAGGAAATTTTATGATCTTTTTAAAAGGTTGAGTGACATTTTTCCGTAGCATCGATATTTTTCAAGATAAAAGCTAAAAACCGGTCGCCGGCGGCGTATTTTGGCCCCCCGCCCCCCTTTTTTCAAGATGGCGGCCTTAGCGGACGGCCGATTTTGGTAAACTTTTGATATGTTGTTCTGGTAGCCTAATGCAACATGTTTCCGCAAAAAAACCTTATATATATGGATTTTCCCAGATGACCCTTATTTAGAGCTAAATTGACTGGACTATGAATGAACACGGCGTTTTCAATTTAGACTCTACAAGAGAGATAATCATCCTCAACGAAGGTGTTTTCCCACAATCCAGAATTTCTGGGGGGGGGGGGGGCCATATGATACCATTTTCAATTGTAGTGGGGAGGGGCCCTGGCCCCTCTGCTCTTTACTTGCCCTTAATAAAT